GTCAGCGTAAACATGTATCGACATTGGAGGAATAAAGTATGTAAACTGATTCTCCCGCACTCAAATGTGCGGGTATTGGATTTCCACACGGACTTGTAAACAGTTTACTGGTCTTGATGAATCATGAAATAGCACTACTTTGTAGGCATATACTATATTGATCATTTTATGTAACTGACAGGAGATTTGCTACCTTGTTTCCTAAACGTTTAGATCTGAATGACCAGTAAATATCAAAAAGGAATTTTAATTCTTAGCCTTTGGTAAATACAGTAAAGTCTCTTTTAAGTGCACACAGACAATACCACAAACTGTTCTTATAAAATAACATGTTTTGTTTGAAAAATGGAAACTAAACACTGACACTATCCATGCAGTTTGAAAAGAGATGTCGTCAGTTTTTAAGAGTGTTCACTTAATAAAGTTTTCACTGGATTTGTATTTTATTAATGTATAAATAAAAAAACGACGGTGTCTAAAATAATATAAGCACCTCTAAATATTATGAAAAGTGATCAAATCGATATATGATCTGAAAACCTTTTTGGTATACCTTTCTGAAAAAGATTGGTGCTGGTAGCCTTTTAAACAACATTACCTGAAATTCTAGTAATATTGGAAATAATAATTTTTTGCAGAAATGAAGTAAATTTTTTAATTTCAAAGTGAATTTCAAAGTAAGACTAAATTGAACTAGTCAGAGCTAAATGCCTATATATAAATGGCACTGGCTAAATGACCCTCTAACCGTCAAACATACACAATTTTTAAAACGTCTTAATTATTAAATTGAATGGTTTTAGTTAATTTTAGTTTAGTTTTAGTTAATTATCAAACTGAATGGTTTCAGCTAATTAAAAAACTTCAGAAAGTGATTTAAAAGCTAAACTTATTACCGAAGGAAACGTTTAACAATAGACACTTCGCAAAACTGGGTGAAACTATTTTAGGATTCAAGGTTAACCTAAACAATCCCATTTTAACATCTCTACAGCTTGTCACAACAAGTTAAATTTTATTTCTTTAATATTGGACTTAATGAACTATATATAATATCAAAGTATGAGATTTTTGAAATCATAGCTTTCTATAATTTAGGTTTATTTGTGTTGATGATTGTATGGATAATAAAAAAAACTTTTTCTTTAGGTTAAATAGTATGTAAACACGCATCTGAAGTATGCCAAAAAATTTACCAAATACTAGATGTTTGACAAAGCTGCTTTAATTAAAATTCATTTCAATCCTAATTAATACTGGAGCTCTTACATCCATCAGATGGCTTTAAAATTTTTTTTTATAAAATAAATCACTTGTTCTATTAAAATTTTTCAAATAAAATAATTAAATATATAATTACTTACCCCTATAATTAGCTGCTGAATTTAATTATCTTTAGCTTTTTATTTTATTCAAACAGAGTTCTTAACACTTCACTCTCATATGTACAGAGTTCTCGAAAAATTTGAAGCCTTATACGTAAATCACGAAGCCAGCACTATTTTATTAATCCATAAGGATCTATGTGTAGCCTGTATGTGGATAATTAAAAGTTTTGGAGTATGCAAGCTGCTCTCTTCCGTTCAAGAACTGTTTGCAATTACGAAAAATCACTATAAGTCACGCGAAAAATTTATTGCTGTAAGAGAGCAAAACAAATAAAACTGGTCATAACAACTTCAGCGCTCTAAGGTCGGCGGAGAACTAAAGTCTCAACCGAAGGTAATGAGTTGTTATATAAGTTAGAAGATTTGTTCGACTTCAACTGACTAAACAGTAAAACTAAGATTTTTACATCTCAACCTAGCAAACGAAAATTAAATTAAAAGAAACATATATCGAGGTGAAAAACCAACAACTTCGTCAATTCCAAAACATTTCGAGGGGAATAATCAACAGCAGCGACAACAACAAGAAAATAAACTACAGAAACAACATACAGAACAAGAGTAACACTACGCAAAGATCGTCAGTAAGTTTATGAGATAATGACCCTAAACAAGCAGTCGTGAGTTTTAATGTAGCAGATCTAAGAAAATCGCGAGCTCATTTAATGCAATAAAAAAGCGTTTTAATACTCACAAAGCCCAATACTCCAAGTAACACTCGAGAGCTACAAGTGTTATTGATAGTTTCTTCTACTTTACTTCCGACTTTTACTGAACAACATTACCCCACTTCAAAATTTCTCCACCACTACTATTGCACTCTTTCATTCATAAAAAGAAGCGCCAAACAAAGTGGAGTTCTCTTCAATTTCAATTAGAATTTCAGTTCTTGTTATTGTTATTGTGCCCACAAAATGTGGAACTTACTTCCACAATTCACTGTAGAATTCTTTTAATGCTATTCTCTTCCGCTGCTTGTAACACGCATATTTCTTGCTGCTCTAGCCGTGTTTATGTCTGTCTGCTTGATAGTTTAATTGCTAGCCTAAACCCATCGAACGTACATTGACCGTGGTTGCTGCAAGCGTCAGCAACTTGCTGCCAACGCAACATGTTGTATTTGGTTTGAGATACTTGTTTGAAAGTATTTCTTTTAATTCAATCCATATTTTAAATGTGAGATACTGTTAATTTGTGTCCCTGAACTTGAACTTCAGATATTTGAGATAAAATATCTACATAATGTTAACAGTGGAATGCGAATGTATATAACAGATTGATGCTTGCGAAACATTAACATTAACATTTGTATTGATTTTTAATGTGTTATTAACAGTGCCTTATTTTAACAGTGATTCGCAACTTATGTATAATTTAATAACTCTTGTTGTGAATAAAGGTAAAGATTTATCTAAAATAAAGGAAACGTTAAAGCAGTCATATTGAAAAAATTATGTAAAAATGTTCAATTTTCCACTTTTTTGTAATTAGGGGAATATAGCTATATAGAAATAGCTTGTAAAAACACAGAAGCTGTTAAGATAGTATCCTTTGTATATTGAACTATATATTTCGTTTAAAATAATTTAGTCAGTAAAATTGCTCAAATATATTAAATTTTTGTGACAAATCAATTTCTTGCATGCACTAAATATGTAATTTTATCAGCTCTTAAATCGTACAGAAAAGAAAAATGGAAAGAAGTCAAAGATGATAAAAGGTCTAGGAACAGTACCGAAGAAATGAAAAAGCCGAAATAACAATAAATAAACCACTGGATCAGTGATTCAAATAGATTTGATGGACTCGTAGTTGATGAAAGAGATGACCATCCAGCTAATTAAGAGGAAAAAACCCTTAAATCACCTTCTATTTTTGTTGATAAAGTTTGGAACGTCCGCCCACACTTAAATTTGTTTAAATTGCCAATGATAAGTATGAAATAAAAGTGATTTAATTTACTCGTGTTAGAATACAGCCTGGTACACCGGAAATTTACGCAAAAATCGTCAATGTACTTGAAAGTAAAAACAATGAATTCTATACATACAAACCAAAAAAGGAAAGGATCATTAAGATAATATTAAGAAATATGTGGTATGTTCATATTGGTACAGGTGAAATAAAATCAGCTCTAGAAATATTTGGGTGTGCTACTAAGAATTTGGACATTTAGATATATTCTAATGTTGACACAATATTCCTTTGAACTGAGATTATTTCTATCAAAAAATGACGTAGATGTACTATTAGTTTCAGAAACTCACTTCACAAAAAAAAGATTTTTTAAAATTCCATTCTATTGTTTCTATCAGTCTACAAATCCTGACTCCAAAAAAACAGTTAAACATTATGAATGTACTCATTATAGCACTATTCAAATTCAAGCCACAAATATTATGACCGAGGACTTAGTCGGATCGATTTTTATATCTGCCATATATAATCTACAAAAACCAAAAGGAAGAAACCTACAAAAAATTCTTATTAACCTTAGGGTATGGATTTATAACAAAATAAAAAAAGATCTAAAGATTCTTCTAAAACGACAGATGGATAGCAGCTGTCACATAGCTTCGACACGTCTCAGTTATCTAACTATTCTTTGCTTATATTGTGGAAAGCAAACAAAAAAGTAAATAATACAATAAATTATCGATCCCCATTTAAAAAACCGGACAATACTTGGGCGAAAAAATAAAGAGATTTGATTCAAAGTTTTAGATTAATTAAGTCAACTGTGCGTATCTAATTTTTACAGACCATAAGTATTTGTAGCATTGATATCCATTGCAAATCACAAGAAGTCAAATCAGTTTACATAAAGACGCATGCAGTCATTACTCACAATCATATTTCATAAAAAAGTTTCTCTTGTTGAAGAAAGCAGTTCATTAAATAGTTCCCTACGAATTTCTAAGACACCCCAAGAGGAGATTTTCTAATGTAATAAATTTATTATGTTCTGAGCAATCGTAACCATTTTCAAGAATATATATTGGATATTTTTAAGTAGATGAAGATCCGTAGCAGTGAACACAACTCTTGTTTTAAGTTTTTATTTTTCGATGTCTACACAGACTGTTTACATTCTTATAGTTAATAGTAGTAAATTCTATATAGCATTATGGAAAATTTTTTGACAGTATGAGAAGTTAAAGGGCAAAAGGAAATATATACATATATGAAAAAGAAACCGCGATTATTTCGTTCCCGTAAAAATGTAGTAATAATAATAAAATGCATACTTTAGTTAGAATTCATGGCATAACTTTTTTATTTAACTCTCATCATTAAAAATTTATAGAAATTGTTCTTATAATACTTGGAACTACATCTGTGTAAACTGATCCACCCACCACCGTGATGTAGAAAAGAAAGTTCTTCTATTCTTTATAAAGATTTATTAATTTTACGGCTCGAATAAAATATATTGGCAACGTTTTACAAATTTAATACCAATTCTAGTACGAGTGACCTAAAAAGTATCTGAACAAATTT